TGCGTAACCTTAGGCCGAGGCCGGCGGCGCCAGCGAGTCTGTCCCTCCCTCCCTCCCCTGGCCGTGCGGTGTGAGAGGTACCGGCCCGGAATGGCACAGGGACCCACTGTACGTGATTAACCAAAGTGTTCTCATTAAGCCAGTTGTTCACTTCATGTTACTCTTAACACCGTGCCTTCAGGCTTTAATCCTTTCTGATTTAAATGTAAAGAGTGATGGAGGGTACTCTTCGGGAAGAAATGCAGAACTTGCCATGTCAGTTGGAGGAAACATAAATTGAAGAGGACAGATTTCATGCAAATTAAATCTAGCACTGTTCTATATTAAAAAAAAAAAAAAAATTCTTCCACTTTTTTTTGTTGTTTTGTTCGGAGTTTTTTGTTTGGTTTGTTTTTTGTGGGTTCCCCCCCAAACCACACCCCCCAATTACTCAGTAACCTTGGGGGGTGAAGCCAGGAACTTCCACTTTCTCAGCTTTAAATTCTCTTGAAGAATAGACTCATTCAATCATTTTCTCAACTATGTTCACTTCTTTTGTGTGATACAAGATTTAAGGTCATTATATGTATCTGTAGAGTTCTGAGCAATTCTAATCTTAAGGGTGCATCAATTCTGCAAAATAAAAAAAATAAAAAAATAGGTCTGATTTTATGTTGTTCTTTTGAGTATGGCTCCTGAGAAAACACTGCTGATATAAGATTGAGTTTTTTGCTGCACCCTAATGCAAGACTGATTTAGTATCTCAGAGAACATTCTGACATAATTAACTCAAAAACTGGCATGATACAAAACGTGGCCTGCAAAGCAACATTCATTCTTCAGTATGTATTGAATGTGTTATTTCTTTATTAAGAATAAAAAATCATTACGGTTTCTGCCTTTGTGACTTACTTTAGCAGTTACCTTCTAAGAACTCACAAAAATAAAATGTTTCACAGGTCTTGCTAGATCACTCCTCATGTGAAAGCTGCATGTCCCAGTAATTTCAATGCTACTTGTAGATAAATATACAGATTCTGCACTTGTAAGTTTTTTGTATTGCGTCAGGACTTTGAGTATCAAGAAGCCTTAATGGAATACACAAGAAGCACAATGTAATATGATCGACAAGCTAAAGTGAAAATGAAACCTGCAAGATCATCAGTGGAACTGCTTGGTGTTAGCTGTGTAAACTTAAATTAGACCTGTTGCTGTTAGACTACAAACATGAGTGACAGTCAAATGTTGTGACAGTCAAAAAAGTGATAAACCTTTAAAAGATACATTCTATCACTAGCATTATTATCAATGTTGAAACTGTAATTGTATTTTTTTTATTTGTTCATTGTTGATATTTGTCAAAGGGAAACTTCATTAGATTCAGCCTAGATACCATAAGCCATCTGTCATCCTTGTATAAATTGACCTGAATCCTGAAGTAATGCCATTTAACTTTTGTGTCAGCCTGGTGCAGCCATGTGGAACTTCTGTTTCATTTTAGAAGAGCAGGTTTTATTTAATTACATAATAAAGTAAGTGCAAAGTTAACTGCATTGTTAAGTTTTCATTATATTCAATATTTGTTACATTTGGCGTAAGTTTTTTGTGTCGTGTAGAATTTTATACCAGAAAGAAATTTGTTCACTTGAGTAAGTCTGACCTGCAAAGGGGCTAAATTTGTATCAAGAAAAACTGGAAGCGCAGTCACAAAATCTGTCTGATACTGTGGAGACCCTTGGCCTGAAGTCATCCAGAGCTGGACAGGGACCTCTCTGTTGTTGACTTTCAAGAAGGTCACTATTTTCATTCCCTTTCTATTCACTTTCATATATTTTTTCCATATTCTTTATTTTATTTTATCCCTGATACAAATCTGTGTTGCCAGGATTCTAAAGATGGAAAGGATTTGGAGGGAGGAACACTTCAAGTTCATACACCATCAGGTAATTTAGGTACAATTCTTTATGCTCATCAGTTTAGGTGATCTGACCACAAAGAGTATAGCCTTGGAAAGGACTTAATGAAACAGTATTAGTAGAGTATCATAATCTAAGTTCACAGCTGTATAGTACTTGGAAGGAGAAGTTGATCTGAAGATGTATTTTAGGAGTGTTCATGCTTAACTTTATCGGTTACAAAAAGGTAATGGGGGCAGCTGAGGACATGCACAATTCTGCAGCCAACCTCTTTATTGAGTTTGTGAAGGAGATCTGCCTGTGTCCAAGTGCTGTCATTCCGGGAATCCAGCAGCACTGCAGTCATCCCTGGGTCTCACCTACTGCAGCTGACTGGCCGGTCTTCAAACACTCCCAAGGATATAAACAAGCACGCTGAGTTGTGCTTAGCTGTAGTTACACTGCTTCACGCGTCCAAACTATCAATCTCAAAGTCCACGCAGCTGCTTTAACTAAACTCTGCCCTCCTGGGACCGCAGTATAAACTTGCAGTCATATTTCACTAATGACTTGAATGGGAATTTTTGTTACTTCAGAGCAAGAGCTATTAAAAGGCCTATCACAGTACTTGGTTTTTTTCGTGCAAAGCTGTATGCACGATTTATAGTTAGGAAGAGGTCTGTTGCTGCCAGCATGG